CCCATGGCACTTGGATGTAAGACCATGTGGAGAGCTCATGCCTTTCCTATTAAAGACCATGGGGGGGGGGGCATGACACCTAGGTGTAAGACCATGTGGGGAGCCCATGACATCCTGGAGTAAGACCCTGGAAGGAGCCCACGACATCCGTATATGTTTATATGCATGGTTATGTGATTGATATGGATATGTGATTGATATGGTTTACGTAGCTGTTATAGCTGATATGGATGATGTGGTTATGTGGTTTGTGTGGGGTATGCTCTGGGGAACTCACTAAGATTTGTGCTTACGCTTTACAGTTTTGATTTCAGGTATCATCGATTTGGAAAAGAAGGGCTCGGATTGATCGCATTGCACTCACCTATGATTTCCGCAATGAATGATTTTGGGATAAACTCTGATAAATGTTTTACTTAATGATGATTTGAAATGTTTGAAATAAACGGTATCAATGTTTTAGCTATATTAAAAATGAAAATTTTACCATTGATTTTTGGGTCGTTACATAATCATAGTCGAAACTGTGACAAATCAACATATAACTTTCAACATACTAGGAATATGCATATGTGAATATGAGATTTGTATACTAATTTGCACCTAGATGACATTTCTATAATTATGTAGATTTTTCAAAGTACATGACTCTAATCGGAAGAAATGAAAGTATAATTCTATTATGTAAAAAATAGTTTATTTAACAATATTTTTTTTATTTAATTAAAGTATATATTTATAAATACAATTTTTTTTGTTTATTTATCAATATAATTTTTTTATTTATACATATACAATATGTATATGTATAATGGAAAATTAAGCTCATTAACAAAAAATGAAAAGAAATGGAAGAACAAGTTGTGCAAAATACAAGAGACCAGTCATCTTCAAAGGATATCGAGAGAAACAGATTCGCAAGTTGTTACTAGTGCCTCACTTCCTCCATTAAAGTTAATAAGATAACTTAGTTTATTTTTTTTGGCAAATTACAGTATTACCTTTTACCGAACAGGTAATTTTTTTTGTTGCATAAAATAAATCCATTGGTACCCAATTTCTCTTTTCATTTAAGTCATTATTGACTTACAAATCACATCCTCCTAGAGGTGGACGCAGGAATTAATATTAGGGGTTTCACAATTTTTTTTACCGGTCAAACATAATATAAAACATAAAAATAATTCATTACGTCTAATACAATTTTTTTTCTGGTCAAACATAATATAAAACATAAGATAACAACGATCTATTACAATTTAAATTTGTCATCTTCGTGCATACATCTTTTGAAATCGCTCCATTACTTTTTCATTCTCAACTTTCGCAAGTGCTTCGATCTTAACATTGCAAAACAACGCGTCGTTCAAAAGTAATTGCCAATTTCATCTTTGAAAAACATCTTTCTACACTTTCGGTCACTACGGGTAACATTAAATCCAACTTTAAAAGCTTATAAACCAAAGGATAAGACCGATGCTTCCCCATACTAACCATCAAACGAGAAAGGTTGGAAATTCCTTTCAAACTAGTGAAGCGCTCATCTTTGATGCAAGAGTGATAAAATAGTTCAAGTTGTCCTTCAAGTTCTGTCATATCCGAATCATCAAAGTCATACTTGCACAACTTACCCAACTTCAACAACTTTAATTTGTCAAGTTGTACAAATGAATCACAAGGGCTCAAAGCACCCCATGTATTCTAGTAACTGTAATCTTGTAATCTTTGACCTATCCGCCGGGTCCTTTGAAAGATCTTTCAAGTCAACATTATCATTAGGTTCATTAGAGAATGGTGTTTGTGGAGTTGCATTAGAAACCGAAGGGATTGATTGACTGGTGATTGGTGCTTGTGGAGTTGCATTAGAATTAGAAACGGAAGGGATTGATTGATTGGTGATTGGTGTTTGGGAACATTCTTCACCACTTTCATTAGGATTAGGTCTTGGTCTTTTGGTAAAAAAACCACTTAGTTTAACCTATAAAAACATAACAATTACACCTAATCAAACAATAACTTCAATAAAACATAGAAATTTCACAAAATCAAACAATAAATTCAATAAAACATATAAATTTCACCTAATCAAACAAAAAAATTCAATAAAACATAGAAATTTCACCTAATCAAACAATAAATTGAAAAGAGAATAAACAAAAAGCTTAAAGGAAAACATAAAATTGGTGTATGTTTGTTACTTTTTGATAAGCTCTAATGAATTGTTGTTAACACGTTACAGGAAGCAATTTAGCACCTCAGAGAGGCAATACCGCTCAACCCCACTATTATTATTATGTATGCAACAAAAGGTACAATTAAGTTTGAGCTTTGACTGAATTTTTACATTTTTTATTGTAGTTTTATGTGTGTGATTTCTTGTAACATATACAATATGATCATTAACAATTGTCCATGTAATCAAGTTAAGTGTGATAACCCGTTTTGTAAGTCATTATAAAGTCAATAATGACTGAAATGAAAAGAGAAATTGGATACCAATGGCTTTTATGCAAAAAAAAAAAAAAAATCATGACCTTTTAGGTAAAAGGTAATAGTGTAATTTGCCCAAAAATGAACAAGTTATCTTATTACCTTTAATGGAGGAAGCAGGGGCGGTTCTGGCTAGGTGTCCGGTGTGGCACCGATAACACCTAGCTTTCGCGTACGTAAAGGAAAAATTTTCGATTTTTTTAAATTTTTATTTGTTGTGCCACTACGTAAAAAAAATCGTGCAACTATTAAAAACATTTTGTGCAACTACGTAAAAAAATGTCACTCTATCGGGAATTACCAAGTGAAAAAAACAATTACAAGCTTACAACCTATAATTAGCTACATAGGAGCCCAATGCTTTAATACATTACTGTCTAATAGCCCAACGCCCCAAATAAAACACTAATTGGACAAAATAGCTTAATTATAATTGCTCGTAAAAAATAGCCAAATTCTAATTCACTAATTGTATTATCGGCTAGAAGAAAGTAAAAAAACAAACGGTGCCAATACTACAAAAATATCCTTTAATGACACGCATTGCGTGTCATAAAACCCACAGACGACACACAAATGTGTGTCAAGGAAGACCCTGTCAATGTCATAAAGAAAGACGACACACATTTGCGTGTCATAACCTTACGACGCGTATTTACGACGCGCATAGATCACACGCAATGCCTATCAAGGAAGCCCTTGTCATAAAGGAAGACGACACACATTTGTGTGTCGTAACCTTATGACGCGTATTTACGACACACATTACGTGTCATAATTTTAAATGTTTAAAAAAATATTTTTTAATATATATATATATATATATATATATATATATATATATATATATATATATATATATTATAGATTTACTAATTTTCAAATTAAATGACAATTAATTTCTCATAACACAACATAAAATACATTATATAACAAAAAAAAAATTATTTCATACAATAATTGTACCAACATTCATTCAACTAATCTACTTTGTATTTCATACAAAAAATCTATTTCATACAATAAATGTACATCAAAAGAAACCATTTCTTTAATTCCTCTTTGCAACCTAGGAAGAGCATAAGATAGTAAACCGACATTGTGTATCTCAATTAATAAATTTTTTCAATCAATCTATAAACCTTTGATGAACACACTTTCTGTTCCATTTCCATACATTTCACCAGTGCATACAAACAACGATAAGTTTTTGATTTTTCACCACCAAAAATAATAATTTTACATAAAAAAAAAAGAAATAACACGAATCGGTAGTTTACCTCATTTTCTAACTTTTTCTCTCAAGATTTTTCTCACCCATTTTATTTCTAAGTTTTTGCAAACCTCTAAGAATACTACTGATTTGTGAATCACAGTCCTTGACCTTTTTATGGGTTATATTTAGCTCACTTTATGCTTGACTATGTTCATCTTTCAATGAAATAACCTGCACAAGTGAAAATGTCATCATTCGTTGTATAGGGGGGGGGGGGTTGCATTTAGCTCACTTTGCTTTTCATTAACATCAAATTTAGCTTTTCCAAGCTCTTGCTTGATTCTTTTTATTGTTTCACTAAGTTACATCACACATAAATACAAAGTATAGAAACAAATTATAAGATCAATAACGAATAAATGAGATAGACCCATTAATTAAAAACAAAATAGAGTGGAACCTGCTATGTATCCACCTTAAATAAGTAGCATCTTATTATATTTTAAAAACTACAATGATATAATAAGATCAAGAGAAAAAAGAAAATGGAAGCTACCATCTGGAGGCTCAGTTGAAAGGACACTGAAAACATGTGCATCTGAAGCATCAAGTCCATCTGCATGAAAAAATAATCGCAAAGAAGAATGCAATGGACCCTTATGTAGCCATCTTCAAATATAATAATAAACAAAAATATGTCAAAAAAGACAAAAAAAAGTTTAAAACTTTGGTTAGGAATTACCTCTGTGATAAGTATAATGTGATTTGGGCGCTGAGGAGCAGTCAAGAATGTCACAGAGTTGATAGGTAGGCCATCACGAGTTCTCAAATCTGCAATTGGTGACGAATTTTGATCATCCCAAATCTTTATCTATTCAACCAAATTTCACAAAAGCACAACTCAATTAGTTAATTTGTTGATATTTAATAGACATTGTTAAAAGTAATTTCACAACCAAATCTCAACATACATTTTCCAATTCCAACAACAGGAACTTCCTACAAAAAGTGAAATCATCCATCAAGTCAAGTTTTATGTAATCTGTGAAAGCACATACACAAGATGGGAAAAGGCCAATTTCAATTTCGGTTCCAGTCATGGGGTGTGGTGTGGGTCTTAGAGCAACACCAGCACGTCCCAATCCAGACCCGGAACCCATGGCCTTACCCATGGAGACATTAGAAATAATAGGGGTTTTTCTTGGTTTTTCCATCCTCTTTTTGTTACGCTTTATAGACACATGCATAAATACATAACTAGTAAGCATCATATTCATATAACAATTAATATGATATGTTTGATAGTAGAATCACTAGAGGAGAAGAAGAGATGAAAAGACATCAAAGGGGTAATTAATTACTTACTTAAAGAATATCATTTTCGTGACTTTTGCTTGCTTTTGTTTTAACAGGCCTTAGTCCTCTGATGATTTCCATGTCATTTATTGCTGCATCAAGACCATTTTTGTTCTGTGCAACATTTCTAATACCACAGTTCACTACGATCTTGGAAACCTTAGGGACCTACCAATACGATGTTTCACATATAAAATCAAAACAATTTGCTAAACAATTATTAAATTACACCAATTTCTTAATTTCAAAAATGTGTTAGTTGACTGATGAATGATCAATAGACACATAGATTAATCGCATCTTTACAAAATGTGATAACATGATAAGGTAAACTCAGGTCAACTGATCAATTTTTGAGATAAAATGTTTAGAGCTCGAAATGGATGTCACCACTTTGGGATAACACATTACTCACACTAAACTGATAAATAATTTGAATTTTAGACAAACACCTCGTAATCTCATTTAGTTGGACGAAATCAATACTAATCTTCAATAATCACACAAGTTTCAAAAGAAAATTAAATACTAAGAAGTTACACATCACTCTAATTGAGTGGCATGCTCCCTAATTTATGAAAGCGATTTCATAAGTAAAATTGAATATATTTTCCATAAGGAACAACAGAAAGATAAACACATATACGGAAACTTTGAATAGATGAAGCCTCGTAAGCTCATTTAGGTATGTAGAACTAGGTACTGGTTTTCATGATTAACACTCAATAATATTACAAAATAAAACCTTACATATAACTCTAATCAACATTATCCCTAGTTTCTACAAGCAATTTAATAAGTAAAACTAACAATATTAACCATTCTGTGAAATGAAGAACTGAGAATAGAAATTCAAATGATATACCTGAAGAAAATTAGTGTGATTAAATTCTTCCTTGAGCAAAGGAATAATCTTTCGTAGGTGGAGCACCACCAGACGATGATGAAGCGGGGGGAATCGTGAGATCCAGAGGTGGAATCACTAGTATCACAGGTGGGGTTCCGACGACAGGTGCAAGTGATGAAGCAATTGGTTTAGAGCTAGAACTCATGGATAGAACATATATGGTGGCGGCGAAGATTCTGGAGCTCGTGGTGGTGTAGCACCGGGAGCTGCTGGTTTAGCGAATAACTCCATTGCAAGAAGAATGAAGGAGTTGAGAGAGCTTGAGGATGAGGGTATCAGGATGATTCTGTTTGCATATGTGAATAGGGTTTCATCTTGCAAATTTTGCTCGATGGTGGTGGACATGATGGGAGATTAGGGTTTCGAATTGTGTGAGTTGACCGAGGATGGCCGCTACCTGAGCCAATTCAAGATCCATAAGACGATTGATCGGAAGACGCCATGGATGCAACGATGGTTTTGTGAGATGATATCTCCCATGGTGTTTTTTGAAGAGATTGAGGGAAGAGAGTTAAAAGGTCGGTAGGGTTTGCATTAGTACCGAGAGGAAAACGAGAGAGGGAAGCGGTCAAAAAAATGAGGGAGTGAACTAACCTAAATCATCCAAGGCGGGGTTTTTCAATTTTTGGGGATTTCTTTTCCCTCCAACTAGCTACTAAGGATGAGACACGCGTTCATCTAAAAAATTATAAAAGGACAGGTAACTTTAGGTCACACAAAAATGCGTGACCTAAATCCTTCAAATTTTATAAGAGATGCCATTTTTTTACGATACCCACTTTTGCGTATCATAAATCGGCGTGTGTCATTATTCACGTGTCATTGAAGGTCTGTTTTCTAGTAGTGCAACTTTATTCAAACCTTTTCAAAAGCCAACAAAAAACATTTTATTAGCATACAGATGATATGGATAGGTGGTTGTTGATACCAACAATGAAGTAGGAGGAGAGGATATACCACATCCACTAATAGGCAGTGCAGGAAGAATGCATGTCTCTAAACCCTCAATGCAATACGAAGTCATGATCGAGGCAGTTGAGAATCACATGCCTCAAGTCATCATTGTTGATGAAATTAACACACAGTCTGAAGTTATTGCTTTTCACATTGCTAAAACAAGAGTCATCCTTATTGTAGTGCCCATGGTGACCGATTGGATCAAGACCGGTGTTGCCTGGTGGAACAACCACATCCACCAGAGCCACCAGTCCAACACGAGCAGGAGCTCAAACCTGAGAAAAAACAAGTAGTTGTTGATGAAAAATGATGCATATTGGATAATCATAACGTTTTTTTACGCTGTTTATAAATAGATAAACGCTTCATCATAGTATTCTTCCTCATAAGAGGAGGTTTCATTAGAGAGATTGTTACACATGAGCACACTTTGTTTAACACGAGGTTTTTTATGAAAGAAAACTACAAAATTAAAAGTTCAAACTCATAAAACTAGGAATAGTAATGGAACTTACCTGATTTGCAACGAGAAATAATCGACTTTATGTGTACGATTTCTATCATCCATGCTAGAAATCGTTGGTGATTTTGTTGAAATTGACGGTGATTTTGTTGGACATCGAAAATAATTGTGGTCCATCATCGATCTTCACTGTATGTGTGTGAGTTCAATCTTCAACGAAGATCTCTTTCTATACGACGTGATTACATATACTTCGGCTATCAAAGATCCACCATCGAACATTATGGTCTTCAACAATCTACTATCGCAATCGAAGATTAAAACTAACGACATCGATCTCTTGGCTCGTGGATTCACCATAGATGATACGGAGGATAAGGACCATGGATTGGTAGTCATCTTTGATCGTCAGAAAAAGTAGAGGTGGTGAATGGAAGGAGGAGGGAAGCGGTAGATGTAGATACAAGAAATACTATGAAGAAGACGTTGGGGAAATAAAGAGTAATTTAGGGATTTTCAATAAATTGATAATTTAATTTTGTTGATTTTTTTGAAATATATTATTATACAAGATTTACCCCTAAGGTCAAATGATAAAAACCTAAAATGCCATTAAGTTCATTATAATTACAATTATGCCATCTTTAATCTAATTCATCAAAAAATTCAATCTAACATTCCACCTTTAGTTCTCGAGTTCTCGGGAAACTATGAGTTCTCAAATAATCCTCCCTATAT